ATCGGAGCACAGATAACATTTGGATGCCACCCATCATGAGATAAACTGGCATAATTTCTAAAATCTTAGGACTTTAATCTTACCAGTTATTGCTCTTAAGAATTACATGGCTATTAAAAGAAAAGAAACTTTCACGACAAATATTGCGAATTTCTATATGGCATGGATACTACCAAATCGTGCTTGTCTAGGTCATCAAAGGAAATCCGGGAAAAGAATTACACTTCTCAGTTTTGCCACAACACGCTCATCACGAATTCGTGTCGTGCTTCATTTTGTTGCTCACGAAGCTATTTCGCAAGAGCCAAGCTCATATTTCATTCAAATCCGCCTTGATTGAAGTTGGCACATAGGAATTTTTACTCAAATTAACCACGTTCGCTCATTAGCAAGCCGCACTCCACTAATTGCTGCCACAGGGGAATTCGTGCTCTAAAGATTGCATGAAAAAGCGCTTCGCTCTTAACAGTGCATGTTTTGCCGAGTACCTCTTTGGCAACTTTGAGGTGCATTTACATATCTGAAATAAAAAATTCGGGGTCCACAAAACCACATTCCTAATCTTTGGATTCTAGTTTCTCACACACTCTGCAAGAAAATCGGTTTCCATTTTGCTAATCAAGTCCTTGATTCAATTGCGCCGGTCCATTCATATCCAAAGTTTTCCCACGTCTCTCATTTGCACATGTGAATTTAGTTGAAGTACTTCTTTCTCTTCAAACTTCGTTCTTTGAAATTCTAGCGATTTCTAGCGATTACGTATATCCCTCGATTTTGCCTATTTTTCAAGGCTGAGGCTTCGTTAGTCATCATAAATACTAACAAATTCTGCAGATTGATCTATGAATTTTACAATTCAATCGACTTATCCAAGATCATATGAGATTTCTCATCTCCCCTTCTTCCATTTATTTGATGGTAAAGACATTCTCACTTCATTACTATCAAATTATTAATTTTTTCCAGGGAAATAGGCCAAGAAATAAATTCTTCTTTTTCCTGCAAATCTCCGGAAAAGTTTTTGTTCTTTATTTATGATTTTCTGAAGAAAAAGTAGTATAAAGCATCTACTATCACACATCAAGCCTTGATATGGTCAAACTTCCAAGAGTTCAACTCCTTGACTTTCAAATTTGATGAGATTTGGGGCTGTAGAGATGAGTAATTTGATATTCGAATCCCAGGTTTTCTCTTCTAGCGAATAACAGTAAAACTGGTGATCTGCCATTTTCGAATTCTTAAAAAAACGAAATTTTCCCACATTTGCTCACAACTAAAAAATTGGGAATTCTTACTTCCTTACCCTTTTTCATGAAAAAACAGATTCTATTCAAATAATCTCACAATTCAATTCATTGAAGTGTTCTTTCCAGGGATACCGAGCAGCAAACCAAAAGGGACCGGAATTATTTAACCCAGCTTGAACACTAGTTGCGTCAGTAATGATCATAATCAACGATTTGATTTGCGCAAGCTTGATACATGCAAATTCACATAGCCGAAACTGTAAATAAATTCAGGGTGTAAACAATTATTTGCTTGACAAACTATCCTCACAAAAAAAGTGCAACTTATCGGGCTAGAGGTCCACTCATCATTTTCTTCCACAGGCTTCCAAGTAATTCGTCAAAACTGCCGAGAATAAATTTCCGGCAGATTCGCACAGCTCAGCCAACACCATCCTCGTTCATCCATCAAATCATTCATCTGTCCAGACCAAACTGCTAAGTGCTACCTTCATCTCTCGGCTCACAGCTCACATTTTCTTCTCCTCAGTTATTAGCAATGCCCTTGGCCAGCGTTTTTGCAAGAACTTCTCATCAGGTTTCTTACACCTCGAACTTCTCAAGTTTCTAATCCTAAGGTCAGTGATCAGTAAGGTGTGCAAGCAAACCGATTTCCGCCCTTTCCAATCCCCTTTAAGTCGCTCCATGGTCTCCCCTCATTTGCCACCCCCCCCCCTTTCCGCTCCCAGTCCCTATGGGCTGTTTGCAACCTCACAAAGGCCCGCAATTGCAACAATCAATTTGGCACACCTGGCGTAAAGCATATAGTGTTACGCGCACAATTAGGCATGCTACCTCTGTAATAACAAATGGATTGAAGCCCGTTCGCCGGCTGAGCGCTATCCATTAGCGATGTTTCAATAGGTGCTGGGAAGCGAGGAAGGTAAGCAATTGAGCCAGAAAGGAGAGATTCTGAAGAGAATATAAATCTTGCGATTATTGTTAAGACTGAAAGAGAGGAAGAGGAGGAGGGGAGGGGAGAAAGGAGAGATCCGGCAGATAGCTAAAAATCGAGAAAAATTGCTCTACAATCCGCTTTCAACATTCCATGAATGTTACAAGTAAGGCAGGGATAGAAGTTACTGTGAAAATAAAAGTGAACCTGAAAGAAAATTATTTTCTACTTCTCAGTAGCACCAAATTGCTAATCGTTTCTTTTGTCTGTGTGAAAAGGGAGCGAAGCAGTAAATAGATGAAAAACGTATAAAATATATTACTATCTATTTACCTCCCTTACTTCCCGTGATTATGAGCTGTTAACAATAATCAATTCAAAAAACTTAGAATCCGAAAATTAATACTGACTCCTTACTATAGCACCAAGCGGCAGTACTGTTGTTTTTGAGAAAGTTTGATTAACTATAGTCAAAATCGGAATCTACTTTACGGAACAAAAATTTTTCGCATCGCAGCCCACAAAAAAAGCAATTTGAGCTAGTGGAAAATGGGAGAATGAATTGAGAAGAAGAAAAGATTGACGTTTTAGGACATAAATTTTCTGGATATTTGCTATCAGTATTTTGCGCTTAGAAAATTTATGCATTTCTTCGCTTTAGAGTTCAGTACCATGTCCAGAAGGCTGAATGGAATAATTAGTGCAACCGTTGTCTTTATGGACCGTTTTCAAAACAAATCATCTACCAAAATTGGTCATCTACAACGTTTAACTGTTTTATCCTTCACCAAAGGAATTGATTTGCTTTAAGCTTTTACCAAGATTTATTTTGCTTTGTGCTTTTACCTTTCTACCCTATTTCTCTCGAAATCTCAACCCTATCTCTTCCTTTCTTGCCATTTTTCCGATAATGATCTATTCAATGAAGCGCTGCATAGACGGTTTGGCGAGAAATTCCCTAGAAGCTATGAAGCGTAAAGGCGCCCCTTCTACGTAACGACAATGCTGAGGCCTTTTGCCCATTGTGAAATGTAGAGGCTAAAAAGGTAACGTTACAGAAAAACTCCGACACCTGACTGGGGCCTTGCCGACACTTTCCCCGACCAGTTTGAGAGAGATTTGCATTTTCGCGCTCTGTTAAGAGGGTTCACATCATGAATCACACTTGCCTCGCTTTCATACAAGTTTGTGGAAAGGATTTGTGCGAGTTTCATACCACCCTCTAATTGATACAAAAACTCTTAGCTGTACAGTGCTCAAGTCTCATTAATCTTTATGGTAAATCATTTTCTCCGTACTGGTTGTTTGATTAGTCATTTTTCCCGTAAACCCTCTCCCTTCCAGAAAAAAAACCCTACAAACTTTTGCAGAATTTAGAAGACACTGTCAACAAACCCTTACTATGCAAATACTGTTGCCGCATGCCATTTTGGAAAAAGAAAAAGTTTGAATTTCACAATGAGTCAACAGATACAGACAACTTTTCCATGAAAGTGGACAACTTTATTTGACTTATTTGTCACTGCTAGAGCTCGCGAGAGTAATGGAAGATAATTTGTGAGAAGATGGTCACTTAAAAGCGAATAAAAACATCCATTATGTTGTTGTGCAAAAACTAAAGGTGCAAATAATAAACTCAAGGTCCTGAGTATCCCTAATTTACTTATAATCCCATTAGATTTTGAGTTCCAAGCTAACGCTAGTGGATCAATACATGCAAATTCATGAATTATAATATTTTGCATGAGAATGAAGAATACATGAGCGTATGAGTCAGTTTTCTAGCAGAAAACTATGTGCACAATAGTCGAAATCATAGTAGCCACTACACGGCATGAAATTCTGCAAGTGTCTTTCCATATTTATAAGCAAGAATGGTAGGAAGTTTACGTACAAGGCAGAATGCAGCTTTTGGTGCGAGTAATAAAAAGCATGTCCTAAGCACAAAAGCTCGCTCTATTTCTTGGAATGTTTCAAAGCTGAGGATCGAATTTGCTGAGCAGACTGCTGATTCAATTATACGACCATTTAGAGAGATCAAAAATCACAAATGTCCTTTCCTTTACTAGAAAGCAAAGAAAAATTTTTGAAAAGCAAAATTTTGAAGCATCCGCTGGTAGAAGAAACAAGTAGTTATGATATCTCAAATGTCTCTACAACTCGAATAGTTTCGTTGTTGGAGTTTTTTTAACGTTTTTTGTTTTATGTTTCTAATTGAAATTGTTTCAATCAAACTTCAATATCTATACTCACTGCTGCTGAGCTTTCCCAATAATTCACATGACCCAGACTATAGAAACGTGTTTTTCAAATCATTTGAATGCCTTTCTGACAATGACAATTGGTGAAATTTGCGTCTCAAAAAATATCCTTAGCTCAGTTCCAAATAATTTGAGAGTTAGGATTTTTCGATCCTTAGGTTTACTGATTATACGTCGGGACTGCTATAATGGACTTCTAACTTGCTTATTCACTCACGGGTTATTTCTCTGATTACAATCTTTTCAAATGCAAAATTTTTGGGAATAATTTCACTCTGCTATACTCCGCCGTGACCTCTTCGGGAATGCTATAATGGAATACAAGCTGCTTATTTATTTACTGGTCATTTCTTCAATCTTAATCTCCAAACGCAAAATTTTCAGGAACGAATTTCGCTGAAGCAGAAATTTCACGATACCATACTTCGCCATGCCCAAGGACCCCTAAGAGGTCCCGGAAGTGGAATTTCTGCTTCGAGAGCTTCAGAAAACGTCGACGACGACGATGAATCACCTCAGGCGATCGATGTGCCGGCATTCCGACATCCACGATTGGCCGATTCGCCGGAGCCGCCTCGAAAAGGGGCGGAGCCGACGGCGGCGATGGTTGTGAGGAGAGCGAGGAGGCTCGACTGGGACTCGTAATCGCCTTTCACCGTGTTTCCAACCGACAGACGTCGCTGTTTCTATTCACACACGCACACAACGAGCACTTCTACACATAGCTCATGCTTTGCGGTGAGTTTACGAATCTGCTTAGAGGCATCGATTTGCCGATGCTTAGAAAATTCAGCGAAATTTGAACCTGCAACAGCCAACTAACCTGACCTTTTCGCAGCTGTTTTCAGCCATCGTTTTGCAAGAAAAAATCACAAAATTTGCATTCCAAACAAAACTAGTAAAAGCTTCAGCCCAAATCGATAATAGTTTGCATTTCCAAATGCTCGGTCGCGTGTTTGTCGACATTTAGGTATTGTCGTTTGAGTGCACCAACATATACGGTTTGAATGGCGTGCCTCTGGCTTTGATGACATTGCAAAATGTGTCTACAAACTCTTTTTGTGCAAGCCAACGAGAAAATGCAAATTTGTGGAAGTTATGGGGCTGTCTACTTATGCTCAAGTCTGGGACTTCCCTTTATTACATGCCATGACAGTCAGCAGCTTTTTGAAGGAAAGTGTTAGCAACAAGCTTAGAATTTATGCAGACACCGTTTAGGCACGTCGCATAATGAAAAACGAAACTTTTCCATAATCGCATTCAGAATCAACAAGTTATAAATTAGCCTGACACAGTTTTGATCCGTCCAAGCTAGAACCATCAACATTCAGTATGAAGATCGCAAAAAGCCCTTACAGTACTCTTTTTAATAATTCTGCTCCTTTATTTTCTCCTACTTTACTATAATATAAGCCATAATTTAACTAACCTTTTGCGCCCATCACGTGATCCTAACCTTTGTGATTTTCTATTTGACTTCAAGATACTTTTTCGATCATTCTTAGTTTTATAGGCAATGTAAAACTTGAGCTACCTGACGATAAATTTGTGAAAAGAGAAAACAAGGTTTTTGAAAAGTTTCCTCCGTTTCTTCCGTAATCTTGAACGAAGTTTTGATCTCTAGACCCTCTCTGAAACTCATTATTAATGAGAGAGGATATAGAGTGATTTATAGAAGAATTTCGAAAAATGAACTCATCTCATGTATTTTCAATCCTCCTGTGCCGGTGGAAATTTCGCCCAAACAACTCATCTTTTTCCTTTCATTCTACGTAGTTTGTTTATTCAGCGGCATTCCCATTTTGACAAATCTAACAAAAAAGGTAAAATTTTTTATAGTACGCCTCAATATGGGGCTGACAGTGTTCAACTGAGATTCAACTATTTCTTTTTACTCTCAGATTCATAAATTAGAGCAATTTATTTCTTGCTTATTTGACGCGATGTTCTTGCGTTATGCATGTTCATATCAAACCTTAGCTCAAGATAAAATTATCGAACTGGCAAAATTTGGAAGAAGACTAAACTTTCTTGCTATTCCTATGAAGTAAATATAGGGCAAAAATGATATTGAAAGAGAGTAGAGGACCCCGTATAAGAAGTGGGTGAAAAAAGTAATAAATATCTGATGGCTGGTACCTTATCGAATTGTTTTGCGTTTTGAAGCAAAGCGTTTTGCAAGGAAGCCAGCCAATCCTACGGATTCAAGTTCGTTTTTTGCCAGAATTTTTGAACTTTTTAATGTTTCTGATGGACGATTTCTATAGAATATAATGAAGCCAGAAGTGCCTCTAGATTGCAAATTTGAATACAACCTTCCCGATTTTCTGCAAAACTTCTCCCACACACGCAAAGTCAGCCACGCTGAATCGATATGACGCAACTCGACTACGGTAGCTGACGACGCTAGTTGTCGGCCATTGATTCGCTCTCCAGAATGCCATCGTTGTCGTAAATTCGCTATCGATCCACCGTAGTACTGGTTTCGTAACGGCCTCAAAATTACCATCTTGTCAGGAATCGAGGGTTTTGCGCGGCATTTGTAAGCAATTCTTCGGGAGAAGCTGAGTTCGTTGCATGTTTGTGTTGGAGATTTTCCTCATTGCACTGTCGCGCGCATTTCTGAGGGAATGAACTGAAATATAAATAAAGGGGAGTGATACGGGGGTAGGACTTCTATTTGAGTGAAATTTTCAAATATTTTGCGATTTTCGAATACTATGTTGATGGGTGCAGCTTAGACGTGAGAATTTTGTCAGTTGATTTTTCCTCAGTCTAAATGTCCATTAACCCCAATTCTAAAAATCTTCTCGAGTGCACTCTTCATAAAAAACTTGGTTTTTCAGATTCCTCATGTTGAATTTGGCCGTATATCAAATCTAGATAGCTTTCGGAAGCTCCGTGGCTCAGCAAATTGTGCAAATAGAACTTTGACTTATTTTCCCCTCCCCTCCCACTTCTTTTGTTCCCTCCTTTCTGGAAGATAAGATTTTTGTATTTTTCCAAGATATTGTTACTTGCAAATACGGAAGCTGCTGATAACCAGCTGCCCAACAGTTTGTTGAATACGACAATAGCTATAACTTCAAACCCCTAAGAACGCCTTGCTATCCCATTTTTTAGCGGCGTTAGCATTGGCCCTTTGAAATTAATAGTTGGAGTGCATGTCCAAACTCGAGCGCTCCCTGGAATCTTTTTTTTTTCATTTACGCCATATTCTATCTCTATTCATGAATTTCCTTACCTTTAGGTTGCCTTAATCCCCAAATACAGTCGGCTCCATACGAGTCAGACAAAATGCTCAATTCGAAACTGAAGCACAATGAACCACAAACATTCGTCAATACTTCGAATAAGGTATTGTTGTCATTTTTACACTGATTAGTTTATGTATTTTTGAAATCTTTTTTTATATACAGTTCTACTCTAAGAATTTTCTCGAATTTTGTCGAATAATTAAAGTTAACTTCTAGGATGCAATGGCACACCTTGTCGACCTCGAGGAGATTGTGCTCAACTGGGCCAAGCTGATATTCGACACGACCAAATCAAAAGCAGAAGCGAAAATCAAGAAGAAGTATTTAGCTGTGAGTTTTCAGCTTGTTCAATTTTACAAAACTCTTCGTAATAATTTACCCCCTTTTTTCGTTTTGAAATGAGTTCTTTTTTATCAAAACCCAGCAAGCTACGCTAGTTTCAAATAATTGACGGACAAAAAAATATTGTCAGTAGGGATAAAGATTTTATTAGAAGTGCCTGCTCTTGCTATTTCAAGCATAGACGCTTTCTTGATAAAGATAATAGTAGTACCGAGGGAACACCATAAGCAGACTTGCAAATTTACCACCTTTGAAAAATTCCCCTTAGATTAGAAAGGCTGCTTTTTTCACCTCCAAAATTCTTCAAGCGCTGCAACTCACCAACCATTTGATTTTATTGTCTCCTTGCACTATAATCTGATCTTCCACACTCAGTTTCCCCATAATTGCAAGGAATATCCCTTCATTACGCGCTGATCTTGTTAGGCGAATGCGCCGGAAATAAAACGCATTACCGGCTGTTCCATGCTTGGAGCAATCTATTATAACGCTATGAAGGCACATACTTGACGAGGAAATTTATAGGCACACATATCCCATTCTGCTAGGGGGAGTTGTGGATCCTAATGGGAAAGCATTTCTCACCAGGGAGATCTGAGAGCGGGCGCGCTTTTCAGCGAATTTTCCAATTTTTTTCGCTCTCTAGCCAACCACAGAACCACCTGTGTCCAAGGATGTTTTGCCACATTAAGCCAATACGTCATTGTTTTTAAACACACTCGCACTCTCACCCACAGCACTCTTGGACCAGATGTTACCCGGGGCCAGCCGTCGATTACACTGCAACAGTTCGCGCGAATCTTATGAAGAATTGGCACGTCGCCAAGGCGATACACAACTTATTATTTCTGTCTCAGTTAACAAATAGGGCGAATAAATCAATGTATGAAGTGACCCGACGTTCGTGCCAGGATTCCCTAGGGAACTTGTTATCTGCTGTATATCTATACGCTGCTCACCACATGCACCCATTCGCCTATGTGCTTCCAATTAGCGCAATAGCCTACGTAAACATTCAAATCAAATGCATCGGTTGGGTATCGGAAGAGCGCTAGGAAATTGAGCGCTTGGAGGTAATCAGAAGCAGGGAAAGGGGTTGGGGGGGGGCAGGGAGAGTTGGGTCGGAAAATTCGCTTGAGAAACTAATAGTAAGTCAAAATGGTTATCTCTAGCATTCTCTGGTGGTACAAATAACATTTGCCAACTCAAATTAATTCCATTATCTCCAAAATTTTCGCATTCAATGAACTACCGTACCCCTATCGTTTTCGCTGCTCTTTGTTACATATCAAAACCGCACCGCATCGAAAAGCCTATAGAATTTTCACAACGGAGCGCTTCCTTTCCGCGGAGCAGCACAATAGTTTCAAAGACTTTGCGAGCCCCTCAAATGCTTTCTTCCATATTTGGGGAACGGTGTTCAGCCAACAAACGCAAAATTCGTCGAAGCTTCCACAGTTACACTTGTCCTCAAAATTTCCTGGTTTTTTGATTATTTAAAGATCACGAATCCAAAATGCATGCAAGCGCCACTGCGGCGATAATGTACCCCCGACGAAAGAGACGACTGTGCAAACGAAATGTTCCACAAGCTGTTGCATAAATATTAGAGGACGTGCTACCCTCCCCCCCCCCCTCCCCCCTCCCCTATTTCAAAAAATTTCATGCTGCAGCTTGCAGCTACAGAAGTGAGTACTTAGCGAGTGTCTCATAACGCGTAAATCTGGGACAGATCTGTGTTGCAGCCTTAGTGGATTCTAAGAGCGTGTAAAGTTCTTCTTGGCCACAGGGGAGGGAAAAAAGGGAAGGAGAGAGAGGAATATTGCAAATACTGATGTTTAGTGAAGGAGTTTCACAACTGTTTTTCGTGCTTTGCAACGAGAGGCGAATATGAATGAAAAGCTATTTCTATGAAAGTCTAAGAAAAATTTGCAGTGCTGTTTAGTTGGATAGTTTTGCAGTACAATGAAAGTACGTAAACGATGAGAGGTTGGAAATGGTTCAAGCAGCAAAGGTTTATTGGAAGCTTTCAAAATTCAGGCTGCCAAATTTCTGCAGAACAGTGTAGGGCAGTCAGTTTATTCTGACTATCCGTTTTTACCCATCTTCAAATTTTCTCGTCAAAGATTTAGCTGACTTGAAGCGCTTGATCTGTCATGTCTTCTATATTTCCCAAGCGTGCTATGATATGCATGGATCCCGTCTGGCGCTACGTCTCCATTCATACGTCTTCTCAGCATCATATTAATTTGCCTTCTCACCTCGTCCATCATGCATCAGTCTCACACTTGCGCGGTCACTGAGAAATCGTGGAGAGCTGGTGTCAAAATTAGAAAGCATCGGAGCACAGGAAAGTGTGTATGAATTAGCAAAGTTTCCTTTTTAGTTCAACATCAACTGGACGAAATTATTTCAAGAATCAATGGAACCTGAGTATGGCTATCAAGGAGCCAAAGGCAATGTGTCTGCAGTAAGTGACTAGCCATCTTTTTTTCTTTTCTTCTCTTTCGATTACATCATTTTGATAGCTTTACATTGGTTGAACTTTCTGAACTTTTGCGTTATAAACACAATGCAACAACAAATTGTTCCTTTTATTCGCTAACTTCAGCTTATTTTGCAATTGTTTTGTTGACAAAAGCTATCCAATTCAAGTTTATCGAAATAACACATTATCTTCTCTAAAGCAATATATCAACTTACGAGAAAGTCGCTGTCCTATTTTTTGCATGAAAGAAAATACTGGTTTATTTAAGAAAGCTCAACGTTTTCACGTAAAAACAACTTCCCAATACCTTGGTGACAAATTACCTCAGTCATGCCTCCATCTGCTTCTAGGAAGCATTGTTTTTTTCTGAAACGATTTCATCCAACCATTATCGAGCACAATACTACTCAAGGAAGATTTATGATATCTAAGATTTGACTTTTTTGTGTGTGCTTAACATTTGCACATGCCCCATTCGTCTGATATTGAGTTCTGTTTGATTTATGACAGTTTGCAATTGCTCGTTCCTCAAAATCGTCCAAATTTTTTGACTTCTGCATAAGGCCTTTGTACATATGAGGCTTCCGATTTGGAAGGGAAAGAATTCTAGAAGCTGAACAGTTTTTGTGGATCATAATGCACCTTCATGCATAGCAAAACCCTCTTTCTTCTCAAGGAAATATACAGAGTGTCCCAAAAAAATGTGAATACTGTTTGATCGTTAATAACTCCCTTGCTTTTATGTCTTCCGCCGAGCTTGAGGCACCATTCTATAGAGCGAGGCCTAACTTAGATCTACAGTATGGAGCGAGTCGTCGATCGCTCTTCATTACTGTAGGATTACGGTAGGAACTTTGACAAGGATTTTAAGCCGTTGAAAGCCATATTCTCCCTCGGAACAAAACGAAACAGGCCAAAAACTTTTATACATGGGTAATGGAAGCCGCTGAGTTCGAATATGAAATTTCCACTTCACTGTGACGCTTCCTTCTAAGGTTATCCCAGGTAAACCTTAATAACCGAATTTCCAGCATTTGTCAAAAATGTGATTACACCATCAAAAAAGCTAAAAACACTCGTAAAAAGGTGCGTTATGGAATCAGCGTGCGCGAAAGCCTTAGTACACAATTTTTCAGATTTTTTGAAAAAATTTTTGTCAAATGGCATATTTCCCGATAGATCCACATGCCAGAAGTTCATACCGTAATCCTACAGTAATGAAGAGCGATCGGTGCTTCGCTCCATGCCGCAAATCTAAGTTGAACCTCGCTCTACAGAATGGTGCTTCAAGCTCGGCGAAAGACATAAAAGCAAGGGAGTTATTAACGATCAAACAGTGTTCACATTTTTTTGGGACACCCTGTATTGCAGTCTCTCAATCCGCTTATTTTCAGCCAAAAGAGGAAAAGGTTCTATTCAAAACGACATTCACCAATACAACCCAACGAGAGCAGGAGTACTCCTTCAAAACTGAGCGTTGCACGAGGTAAGCCATAAAATTCCTCTTTGCCGTCCATTCGCTGTAAAACAAGACGAAAAAATATCACCTTAACATATCTTGTCCTTGTGATAAGTGATATCCACTAGCAACACAAGTGCATCCGAAAGTGAAGTAGATTTATGGGCACATTCAAAAGTTATTGCATAAGGCAGCAGGGGGATGATGAGGCAATGCCCGACTAATTTCGAGCAACAGGTTGATTTGAGGGATTTTATCACAGAAGAAAAATACGGTAAGAAAATAGAGTAAGATTGAAAGGTTGAAGAAGTTATTCGATTGTGTACACTCATTCCTAGGAATTTGCGATCAATACAATGTTTTCTTGATTAGGAAAAGTAGTAAATTCGTGATAAGTAGAACTCATTGATCTTTCAGCAATTTTGGCTTTTCCTCAACAATTTGTAATGTCGCAATCGGCAAACTATGCTTTTTGCGCAATGCTAGAAAGAGGCATGGCCTCTTCCTAAAAATACATAGGTCAAAAACGTGCGATTCTTTAAACTCAGGAAAAATTACAGAAAAACATTTCTGTGCAAGGCGAATGTTGTGAACCTGTAGATAATGTTGATGCTTAATTTTTGCACCAAAATTTTGGAATTCTCTTACTTTCTCTAGCTTCAATGCAATCTTCTGATTTATAGGTGATAAAGGAAGAAAATTTTGCGCGTTCAAAATGTGCATTGAAATTCCTTGAGCGTATATGGCAACGTACAAGCTGGTTAAGAGAAATACACAAAAGTGATTTTTCTATTTCTGGTTGCTAAAATTTTGTTTCATACTGTAATGTAGGCTTTTGATATACATTATCTTTCAGATTTATTTTTGCCTTTAATTTTACAACATACTTATTTGACTAAGAGAAGCTGTAGTATTTGTGTGGGTTTCGATTTTTTTTATCAAATCGATTTACTAATCTCGTTTCATCTTGATTTTCTAAAATGTATAGTAAGATAGTACTTTTGATATACATATCATAGAGTATATTATGTTAATGGACTAGATTTTCTAAGCATTCTCAAAAAGATTTTTTCTATTTTTCAAAGTAAGAATTGCTCAGAAAATCTTAGCGATAACCAGATTCTGATTTGTCTTCAGCAAAAAACAATATCTATTTTGACGAAGTACTTCCATCATTAACTTCATTTTGATAAGAAAAAGTATACAATTCACAGTGTTTCGTGTTTTGTCACTGAATCGCTCATTAGCCTCCTTTCTTGAGTCACTAACTTTCTCGAGTACTGACGTCAAAGAACCAGTCAACATCTGTTAAGCTTGTTTAGTTCAAAAATTGAGTCATTTACTCTTTCGACACATGCTTAATCTCTTTTGCAGCTCTATGACTAACAGAAAGAATAGGAATCTAGTTTTCAACTCCATCAAATTATTCAACCTCGGTTTTCTCTATTACGAAAGCAAATGCGTTTTACAGGAGCACATCTACCGTAATCATTGAAAAAGGTGTATGCCGTGGAATGGAAGTGGCACTCAAATTGAAAACCCCATGTGAGGTTGTCGAAGCTAATGCAGGGTTTCACCAGGAAGTAAATTTAACTCATATCGGTGAGTCATCGTTCGATTACGTAACTCTCGTTCTGTTACCGTATGCTGCTGCAAATGACAAACGTTTGACCTTGACGAGTAATCACTGTAATTACAGTAATTCAACTGAGCATTGATATTGATTTTTACAAAATTGAGGTGCAGACGCTATTCTTTCGAAACTTTTTTGAACATTTAGGGCAGCAGGTGTCCACTTCCATATTTCTGGAATTATTTCCCATGGATTTGTGTTCTAAGATAATAACTTTTAGGTGAAAACACCAGCGAGGAAGAATTGAGCTGGGGTGTAGATAGCTGTGTACGGGTGCCACCATCAAGTGAGACAGTTGCCGAATTAGTAATCCTTGAAGAGCAATGTAGACGTGATTTCCGAATCGAAAATCGAATGAGTGGCAAGATCTTGGTTACTGGTGAGTTTCATTGTGATCCATTCCATGATTTTTTCCAAAATACACTATTAGTTTGTCTAATAATTTTTTTAACTTTGAATTCTAATTTTTATAAGCATTTCTTCGTACATCCTGATTAGTTTCCGGGTACCATTCGATAGAGCAAAGCGAGCTCTTTGTGAGTTCCCTTCAAACATATGCATAAATTTTGACCCACACAATGTTCGGAGCCAAAAGTTTCAAAAGCCCTAAAAATCCAAAAAAGGCATCACCGCTTAGAAAGTTTTGATATCTTTAAAGCATATACTTTGAATTAGACTTTCATAGATATAACTACTGTATTTTTTGAGGCTAAAAATCAAAAAAATTATGCGCGAAATTTTCAATTTGCCCTCAGCAAGTGCGTATTCCTCTCAGATATTTGATCCTATTCCATTTTCGGTCAGATGTATTGCTAAGATTTTGCACCCCTGTAAATTTTTGCTGTTTGAGAACTATCAATTTTAAATCTCAAGTATGAAAAAAATTATGGGTAACACCTAATACTTAGAATAGGCTTAGACCTAAAATTTATTTCATGCTCAAAAATGCACATTTTTTGTCGTAACTTAGCCTATTTCGCCCTCATATTAACAAAATGCTCTTTGTCTCAACTTGCGCATTCTTCACTTCTTCCCCCCCCCCTCTTTGGGCCCCAGTTAACTAAACTGAACTGGCTACTTTGCCCCCAAAATGCGACAAAGAAGTATGCACTGAAGAGTCTCTTCAAAGATACTTGACTTAATATGCGTCCGAGCACTCAATTCTTTATGTAAATTTCAATGTCACAACGCCATCGCGTGCGCCCCATTACTGTAAAGAAAATTGCGGTCGCTGAAGGGGCCCTTGTCTAGGAGTGACATTGGGAAGATTTAGAAAAAGAAAAAAGCTCGGTAAATCAACTTTTTCCGAGGGAATTTTCAAATCTTGGAGTAATTATGAAGGAAGAAGAGCTAATCGAGAAATTACTGCACGGCAACGAATTTACGACTCTCTTTTTGCAGTGACCAATTTGAAGTTGAACAATAGCCTCGTCACTGTGATCGAAGGCAACATTGCCGATATTATCCGTGGAATGCCTAATTACGGTTCGAAAGGCTTTACGATCGAAGGAAATGTGAGTTTAACGATTCTTCAGTAATCTTCTTTGCATTTTTCGTGCTTAAAATTTCGAGGAGGTAATGGTCTGAGCAGACTGGTTATGGTAAAAGGGGAGGATTATCGTAACGATTAGTGTGGAGGTAAGGGTGTTTGAATAGTCAACACAAAGCTTTTTATAGGTAGGGGGGGGTATGAAATTTTCAAGCCCGAGTTTGGAAGTACGCTTGAGACATATTATTTGTGTGGGCTGCAAAAATCAAACGAGGTCCATCAAGTCAAAATATCTGTGCAGCTTTTCATAACTTGCAGCCAGTTCTAGATAGTCAGCCTATCAAGATCTTGCATTTACCTTTTTATTTATAGTGAAAAGTAACCAGTCATGAAGTTATTTGTTCGTTTATTTTTATTGACTATATTTTTCTATTTGATTTTGACTATTATATCCATTTTCCTTGAACTCTAAAAATTATAAGATCCGATGGTCAAGTAACGCTGAATACGTCGCGACAAAAAAATCTGTTGCATCCGGTTTTCACTCAGGAGCTGAGCTGTCATGTTTTTATTTAATTTTTTCGTTTATATGGCTTGATCAAGCATTTAATATTTAATCACATAATAAAAAATTCATTCAACCAATCAATCGATAATTCGGTTGTTCATGCCTACATAATTTACTGAGACAATTGTGGTCTCGATACCGTTGTGTGAATTGCCAAAAATCTTATCCGCTAGCGCATCTGCCGTCATCATCGCTCGCTTTATGATCTCGGACTCATCACCGTTTCACATCAATTCGTCCCGATTTTGCCATTTATTACGCTAAGCACACGTTTTTGATGAGCCGCGCGGCAATTCAGCTGACCAGATGTTGAGCCCACGGGAAAGAGACGAGCGCGTGTTGTGAAGACACGAGGCAAGTCATGGTCGGGTCGGATGAGGCGCGGGCGAAAACTAGTCCGAGTGCCTCGACGCGCTCATAAGTGCCTCGATCCCCGTCACTCCTTTGTGGCAATTGTGAATTGCGCCTTTATGTGAGGACATAGATGGGGGTGAGGAGGTGACATGACTGTGAGCGCAGTGTGAGCAGGTGATTATGGGGTTCGCGAGGAGGAATTTGCAATTGATTTGAGAAGGAAAGGTACCTGGTCGAAAAAGGAAGAGGGGTACAGGGTGTCGCAAAAGTATGTAAACATAGTTCGATCATCAACAATTCTCTCACCACAGGGTGTGTTTTGGAACTTGAGTACTATCTCCTAAAATCAAAATTAACGTACAATTAGTACAGTACATGGCAATTCATCATTGAGGCCACTTCGTTACTGTAGGATTACGGCATGGATTTTAAGGAGGATTTTAAGCCTTGTAGACTTTGCTTCACAAAAGACTCGAAATTCCGTGAAACTGCTTTGAATATAATAAATCAGAATAGAGGTTAGAAGTAAAATTTTCGAGTACACGTGATTCCCCCCCCCCCCTCAAAAGTTGCGTAGGGCGCGCTAGGGAGATGGTCAAGAGGCGCGATTTCTCTGGCTGTCATCAACTTAAAACTCCAGTTTAGTGCTATGCGAGACTTTAAAAATTATCAGAAGTGCACTAGCTTACAAATTTGTCTGAGATCATCACTTGCTGAGTTTCATGGTTTTTGCTATAAATCGGACTGAAATTTACGAACTTGTTCTAAAATGCATTTTCATGAGTTTTTGACCTCTAAAAGTGTGCTTTTGAATTTTTTCTAAACATCAAGATTGAACAACTAATGGAGCTATCTAATATATCTTCTTCTAAATATCATATACTTTTAGAAAGTTGCACAACACTTATTATGTGCTATCTGTGGTGTCCAGCTGACAATAAAAATCGCCCCTCTTGACATACACCCGGGCGCGCTGTAGGAGTGTGATTATCCCCCAAATTACGTAGCAAATTGTACAAAACCAAATTTTCAAAACTGGTACGCCCATTAAGTATGTCACGAAACCTTTCATGTTCTACAAAATGTCTAAAGTGCTAGCTAATTTGTCATGGGGTAAGTTGCGACAACCTACAATGCAGAAAAGGATAGACGTCTTATTCTATATCGTTGAGCTGAGAAGCCCTCTCTTGATTTATTGGATGGTGAATTGGATGGTAGTACATACCCGACAGCTTGTTACTTCAAAAAGGTTTCGTTGAGTTACTGATAATGGTGTCGTTTATTGCGCATGATGTGATGACCTTTAGGTTCAATTTACGTTACTTGAGCATATATGTTTTTGCCTTATTTAAGTCATATAAAAACACAATATAGTGGATTTTGAAACCATACCTTCTTCTATGGTTACCCTAATTAGCATCCTTTTTTTGAGAATCGTCTTATTTCAGATCGTAAAGTACGAAACCGTGGGCACGTGTATATTCCGCTATGGTGTCGAGCAGAAAGTGAAAATCAACGAGACTGCGATACGAAGTTATTACAAGTGAATCTGGTCAATTGGTGCTTTGGGTTTGCCTCAAACACTTTCATCCATTCGTTGTGCGTGTGATTGCTCTAAAAAAGGATTCGTGCCAACCGGCTTCAGGAGAACACATCTACCCCTACTCGCAATTTGTTAAATAACCAGTTACACCAATTATCCTTAAAACCTAACTGATCAGAGATTCACTCTTTCCAAGCACCTCCCTCACTTACGTATCCCTTGCATCTGGAATCACTATCTAGTAAGATGTTTTCTAGAGAAACCATACTGGTGACCTTACGTGAAAACTCGCCTACACGGCCCCTACGGCCTTGATGGCAGTCTCTTCATCTGCTATTGTATGTATCATCTATACTTAGTAATGCGATATGGAGTTGGCATGGATCCTACATATTATGCGAAGGGTACACCTACGACCGCAGTTGCCCAAAAGCCCCTAGGCACCTAATTCATATTTTTGCAGAATTCTGAATTTTCGATTGTTGAGTATCCGCTTTTTTCAATGGAATCGTTGTTGATTTGTATATTGTTCTTATGAATTTGAACTCGTCCGGTTGCAGCATATTGTGATCTTGCTTAAACATTGAATGCAAAAATAAAACTAATTGATGCTAACGTACAACAAGCTCACTTTCATTTATATTTAAATTATAACAAACCAAAAAAACCGGAAATTTCTCAGTCGCATGATAACATATGTGATACAAAATCATTAATGAGTAAATGGTACGAAACCATGCATCAATCCAAATATTCTGAAAAGACAATTTGTCACCAAAGGATTACAAGGGTTAATTAATGGGCCTCGCATCGAAAACCACCATGAAGTTGCTCAAAAAAGACAAGAGATAGGCAGACTCTGGAACTTATTTTGAACTACTGATAGCAAGCTGTACTGCAAGCGGTAGCCAGTTGCAGAAAATTTTTGCATGGGGTTTTCGGAAGTATAGACAAAACAAGATTCTGGAAGCAGTCAGAGGAAGTAAGCCCCAGGAAATGCTGAAGAAGGCACTGCGAATATCACGTACACTGCCAGCACCTTGAACAAAGATGGAACCCCGACTTTCTCCAGAAATAAATTGGAATCTATCGCGGAGGACTTCTACATTAGCCTATTCCGCTTATCCGGACCCGTAGCGATGCCTATGGTTTCCACTAAGAATGATCACTGATTGTATCTGCTGAAGTGCGCATCGCACTGCCACGGCTGACAGAATCATCTCTCTGTCAAACTTCCTCGAGCCGGTGGATAACGTCTACACTCATCGCCGTTGCATTCCATTTTTAAAAGGAAGGCATCGTAAACAGTGGAAAACTCTCAGAAGCTTCGCTTTATAATGAGTAAATAAGACAGTTTTGGGACTTATCGTTCAATATGCCTGCTGAGTGTGCCGTACAAGCTTTTAGAAAAATTCCTCGGTCGTATACCAAGTCCGCTGGATGAAGTCCGGCTCCAAGAGCCGAATTTTGCAAGGAGTTCCGCTGAATAGGCTACATTTACAGTTGAGGGTCATAGTAGATGCCGAGTACTGCTTGCCTCTCGTCCCAATCTTCTGGACTACGAGAAAGCCTTTGACATCAAATTTGCCATCCTCTCAGCGCTCAACAAGCCAACAAGCAGCCAACACCCAGCTTATGTGAGAACATTAACCAACTCTCCTATAAGGACTGTAACGATGCAGACATTTAATTGCTTCTTATGCATCCCAACTGAGGAGGGGCTCACAGGGGACAAATCTCTCTAAAGGTGTTCACTGCAGCCTTGCAGTGGGTACGAGCCATTGAGACGAGAGGCATACGTGTTGATGGGAGACTCCTGCCGAACCGTTCGGACGACGTCGTTTGCTTGCGAGCATATCAGTCAGGGTAAGACGACGCGGATGGAACTAAGCGAGGTAGAGTGGAAAATCGAGCTGCGTACAAATCGGAGGAAGACTTATTGAGGAACACCTTTTATGGAGACGCGTGAGACATGAAGTGCGCAGTGGAAACGGCTTTATTACCAGCAGGATGAACGAAGGGATAGAAATAATGTTTATTGAACAATCTATACAGTATCCACAAGAGTGCTTTACATCAGACTGGATCGCGGACCATAGTAGCGGCAGCGGGAAGGAGGTCTGGCAGCGGTAGGATGAGGTGGCTCGTGGAGACGTCGTTGAACGCGTTGTTCTTCTCCTCGTGATATCGAGTTATATACCTAGCATAACCAGAGTTCAACGTCTCTGATGGCATGGGAATTGCTGTGCTTACAATATGGACGGATGACATCCTATAACGTTTGATACTTTGAAATTGCAGTGAGATCTCTTGACACAAAGAACACTGCCCATGCACGGAAATGGAGTTGAAAATACTCTCATTACTCTCATTACGGGACATCTTTACGTGTTTGAGGAAGACGATGAACATGCGAACGACTCGAGGGAAAAACTCAAAGGAGACAAGCAGCCCGGACCACTTTCGAGCTTTTGAAGAAAGCTTTGGGGCTCCTTTTCAACAAAATCGTTCTGCCAGCCTCTGCTATGTAACTGAGACTTGCGCGACACCGCAGCCACGTCTGAAGCTTCATGGACCACCTACCTTCTAAGTTTCCAGTGATGATTTGTCCATGCTTATCTTCAATATATTCTGCCATTCCTAAATCTCTCCATGTGCATTTTTAGATAAGAATTTGATTTATTTCGTTTGTTTCTTCAGCAAGAACGCAACTGCAATTAGAAATTTTTTTCTGGGAAATTGGATTTTTGTATTTATATACAAGTTTGCATTTTAATACATTATGAATATATTCAACTCCGATAGTTACAGTTGACAATTCTTTTGGTAAAATTGAACATAAATTTGCAAAGTATCCCATGAGTAGTTGCGTCTATATTTTGTTTGATTTGCTGCTAGAAGGGGGGATCAAAACATCCCGCAACTACATGTTTCATACAGCTTTTTTTAATGATTGAATATATCGAAATAAGTCTTGTTGCCTGCCCTTGATGTGAGAACATGGAGGATTTCCCATTTCCTCACATCCACGGTTTCGCCCTCATGGTTGTCCTCTATTTTTATAGGACAAGGGGTATGCCCTCTTATCAACGAATCTGTAATATACAGGGTGTCCCAAAAAATGTTTCGAACGTTTGATCGTTAATATCTCTCTTCCCAAGAAGTCTTTTGCCTTGCTTCAGGTACCGTTTTGTAGAGCTGGCTTCAACTTAGATTTGCATTATAAAACGAATCACCCATCTCTCTTCATTACTGTAGGATTAAGGTAGAAACTTCAACGAAAGGCCATATTTCGCCTCAAAAAGGAAACAAAACAGCGTGAAAGCTTTTACACTAGGCTAATTAGAGTTGTTGATTCTAATTGTAAAGCTCCCAACTTATTATGGTGCTTCATTGAAGAGTTAGGCCGGGTGAGAGGTAGCGGCCATTTTTTCAATGTTCCAAAAAAGTGCGGTTACACCGTTTAGAAAGCTTTGTAATCTTGTGAATAGTTGAGTATTGAACTCAGCATCCATAAAAACTCTATTACACAACTTTTCACATTTTTTTGAAAAATTTTGAAACGGCAGCTTTTTCCACATTGACACCATATGTTTCAAGTTTGTACCGTAATCCTACAGTAATGAAGAGAGATGGGTGGTTCGTTTTATAATGCAAATCTAAGTTGAAGCCAGCTCTACAAAACGTTACCTGAAGCAAAGCAAAAGACTTCTTGGGAAGAGAGATATTAACGATCAAACGTTCGAAACATTTTTTTGGGACATCCTGTATTTGCAATAAACCAATCTTACGATGCAACAAAAATAAACTTACCCATTTCAATAAGATTACACTGATTACAATTATAAAGTTGTATCAATGAGATTAACACGTTTCGGACCGGTGCTGCACATGGTGCAGCACCCCGCTTTGAAGGATCTTTTGGTCGTTTACAGGAGGTTTTTTTGAGTTCAAAATTATCAAGTCAAAGGCCTAAGCTTCTACTTCCCAAATGACTTTATAGAGTTGTGCCGCCTGTACTTGTTTAAGGATATGAGCACAAATTGAACAACAGTTGCAACGAAGTGCGGCAATGCGAACGACGCAGGCGACCGTCGCCAACTTCCTTTTGCTCCTATACTAAAAAGAAAAACCGTAACTCGATCAAATTGCGATAGTCGGAGCCGAGTCTCCGCCTACCTTCACTTTTGAGCTGGTACACCTTCACTTTTGGGAAAAATTTTTTTTGCTGATTAAAAGAAGGAGAATGAGGAAAAGGAACGCAAAAGAAAGTGTTGAGAACATATATCTACGTAGTAGGTCGATCTAGGCAGTAACCGCCGAGAACCAGAGTTTCGAATGATAAAATAACGTAAAATCATGCGAAATTTCTACTGTTAGCAAATCCAGCGGTTGAAGATGTCAACAAATGCGACTTCATAATTTTTGACGTGCAGGTGTTGTTTTACCACATAGTGAAAGAATTAGGTTGATTTGAGCAGTGGCTGCCGAGAACGAGAATTTTAAAAAATTGAGCTATTTTAGGTTACTTAGTGACAGCTGACAATTAAATGCGTATAAATCTTGAATGTGAAAGTGTGTGATGTTGCAACTTCATAAGTTTTGTAGGATAAGGTTTACATTATCGGGATATCTTAGCCGCACCGATCCATTGAGATACCGTTGAGATTCAGGGTCTTGAAAAAGCAGGTAAAAAACCGCTTTTTGAAATTCAACAGCTCATAACTTCTTCAGAATTGCATGAATCATGTTGCGACTTCATAGATTGGATTCTCCCCTTCAAGAGCTTTTAGATGATATATAATATTTGGGGGTTTCTCCCCTCTCACCGGTATATGCTCGGGGGTGGAAAATTTTTATCACAAAGTTTCCACTGGCGGCTTCCAGCCAATACATTAACATGGGCGATGTGGAGACTTTGTGATGAAAAGACTCCATCCCCGGGCATATGCCGTAAGAGGCGATAAACCCCCAAATATTGTAAATCATCTGAAATCTCTTAAGGAGGAGAATCCAACCTATGAAGTCGCAACAAGATTCATGCAATTCTGAGGAAGTTATGAGCTGTTGAATTTCAAAAAGCTTTTTTTTCCTGCTTTTTCAAGACGCTGAATCTCGGCGGTATCTCAATGGATCGGTGCGACTAAGATATATTTTGATAACGCAAATCTTACTCTACAAAATCTATGAAGTCGCAACATCACACACTTTCACCAAGATTTATATGAGTTTAAGCAGCTACCATTAAACATGCTAAAATGGCATAATTTTTTTTAGAATTCTGGTTTTCGGCGACTAACTCTCATATCGACTCGTTTTTATAACTGTCTGATAGAGCACCATTTACTCTTCAAAAACTTCAAAGTCGCAATTGCTAATATCTTCAAACACCAGTTATAACAGTGGAAATTTCGCATAATTTTTCGTTACTTTATTATTCAAAATTGGTTCTCGGCGCTTATCCCTAGATCGACCTACTTTCTTCGCTGTACGTTATAACAAAATCTACTCAATAAAATACGTAAAGTATAGCTGAGTTTCAGTCGACGGCGAGTTTCTAAAAGTAAATTGAACGGGAAAATAGTTATGAGTAACCTCTAAATTTGTTCTTTTTTTCCTATA